CAAAAAAAAACTGGGAAAGTTGAGAAATGCTAAAAAAAAAAAAAAAAACCCACCTGTTTGGAACATTCCACAGGTGAACAAGTTTATTGCAAACAGGTGAGTGTCATGATTGGGTATAAAAGAGCATCCCAAAAGAGTCATTCACAAGCAAGGGTGAAGCGTGGTTCATCACTTTGTGAACAACTACATGAGCAAATAGTCCAACAGTTTAAAAAAACCTTTCTCAACATACAATTGCAAGGAATTTGAGTATTTCATCATCTACAGACCATAATATCATCAAAAGATTCAGAGAATCCGGAGAAATCTCTGCATGCAAGTGCAAGGCCGTATACCAACACCGAATGCCAGTGACCTTCGATCCCTCAGGCGCACTGCATTAAAACAGATATCATTCTGTAAAGGATATTACCCCATGGGCTCAGGAACAGAAAACCACCATCAGTTAACACAGTTTGTTGCAAAATCTACAAGTGCAAGTTAAAACTCTACCATGCAAGTGAAAGCCATACATCAATACCACCCAGAAACACCGCTGGCTCCTGTGGGCCTGAGCTCATTTGAGATGGACTGATGCAAAGTGACAGTGTGCTGTGATCTGACGAGTCCACATTTCAAATTGTTTTTGGAAATCATGGATGTCATGTCCTCCGGGCTAAAGAGGAAAAGGACCATTGAGATTGTTGTCAGCGCAAAGTTCAAAAGCCAGCATGTGATGGTATGGGGATATGTTAGTGCCCATGGGATGGATAACTTGCATATCTGTGAAGGCATCATTAATGCACAATTTTGGAATAAAATGTACTGCCATCCAAGCAACATCTTTTTCAGAGATGTCCCTGCTTATTTCAGCAAGACAATACCAACCCACATTCTGTACGTGATCGAACAGTGTGGCTTCATAGTAGAAGAGTGTGAGTACTAGACTGGCCTGCCTGCAGTCCAGACCTGTCTCCCATTGAAAATGTGTGGCGCATTATGAAGCGCAAAATATGACAACGCAGACTCCAGACTGTTGAGCAACTGAAGTCGTACATCAAGCAAGAATGGGAAAGAATTCCACCTACAAAGCTTCAACAATTAATGTCCTCATTTCCCAAACGCTTAAGTGTTGTTAAAAGGAAAGGTGATGTGACACAGTGGTAAAAATATCCCTGTCCCAGCTTTTTTTGAATGTGTTGCAGGCTTCAAATACAAAATGAGTGAATTTGCAAAAAGCAACAAAGTTTATCAGTTTTGAGCATTAAATATCTTGTTTTTGTGGTGTATTAAATTAAATATGGGTCAAAAAGGATTTGCAAGTCAATGTATTCTGTTTTTATTTACCTTTTACACAATGTCCCAACTTCACTGGAATTGGGGTTTGTAGTAGAGCAACATTACTTTCGTAAAATGTGCAAGCAGTTTAAGGCAGAGGGAGGGGTTACTGCTTCAGTACTTTCCTACATATTGGGTTTTACTAAGGGTAGAATGGAAGAAAAGTGCTGAAAAAAAAAACACTTGATTTTACAATTATTTTTTTTACATACATATACATATATACAGTGGGTATGGAAAGTATTCAGACCCCCTTAAATTTTTCGCTCTTTGTTATATTGCAGCCATATGCTAAAATCATTTAAGTTCATTTTTTTCCTCATTAATGTACACACAGCACCCCATATTGACAGAAAAACACAGGATTTTTGACATTTTTGCAGATTTATTAAAAAAGAAAAACTGAAATATCACATGGTCATAAGTATTCAGACCCTTTGCT